AGAGGACGATCAGCTGTTCTGACTATCAGCTGTTCCGGGATCCCCCTCGCTGTCTTACTGCTTCACCCAGGAGGCTTCCCTGAGGCCCTGGAGGCAAAAAGGAGCATGCGGAGAGGCGGGGGGGGTGCTGTTCCCCCCTCGCTCCGTTTTTGCCTTCCTGGGCCTCCTGGGAGCAAAAACACCCCCCAGGAGCCTTCCCTGAGGCTCAGGAGGCCCCAAAATGGAGCATGGACCCCCTTGTGCTGCAAAAAAAAACAACGAAGAAGAAGCCACGCCCACCCAGCCACATGGCCATGCCCACCTTGCCATGCCCACAGAACCGATTGTTAAAAATTTTGAACCCCACCCCTGCACCCCCACACTACAAAACGGACTCCTCCACCTTCAACGTCCCCAAAAGGAGACTTACCTTTGTAGTAGCTATCAGTGCAAGCCGTGTTGACCAAAGGGTTGGGGTTCTCGGTCTCCTCGTCTATCCTCAAGAGCGCAGGGATGGTGGGATTCTTCCCGTCTTTCAAATTGAGCAGGGCCTTCATCAAACAGGTCTTGCCTGTCTTCCCATCTGGAAGAAAGAAGTCCAGGGAAAGGAGGCTTGGGTGATGTCCGCCCGTCTTCCGTCTTCCTAAAGCAGGGTTTCTCCGCTTTGGCCGCCTGAAGATGGGCGGACTTCAACTCCCAGAATTCATTGGGATATATACCACTGGATTGCCCTGTCAGTGTCGGTGGGAGTGTTCTTAGTGGTTCCTTGATTAGGCTGCGGTTTAATGTAGGCCCCTGTATATAAGCAAATCCCATACTCTCTTCTAGCACTGATGATGTTACCTAGTTGGGTCATGAAATGTCTGCAAGAAAATCACCAAGCTCAGAGAGCACCAAGGACTCCTTCACTGCCTCCTTTCTCCTCCTCCTCCTCCTCCTCCCTTCTAGCACTGATGATGTTACCTAGTTGGGTCATGAAACGTCTGCATGAAAACTACCAAACTCAGAAAGCACCAAGGACTCCCCAGTCAATTTCCTCTTCCTTCTCCTCTCTGAAAACCACCCTCCCTTCTAGCACTGATGATGTTACCCAGCTGGGTAATGAAATCTCTGCGAGAAAACCATCAATGACCCCAAAGTTCACCTCATCCCAACCCCCATTCCTTTGTAGCACTGATGGTGTTACCTAGTTGAGTCATAAAATGTCTTCAAGAAAACAACCAAACTCAGGGATCCCCAGAGATTCCATAGATCCTCCTCTACCCCTTGATCTTCCTCTTCCTTCTCCTTTCTACAACCACACCCGCTTCTAGCACTGATGACATTACCTAACTGGGTAATGAAATGTCTGCAAGAAAACCACCAAGCTCAGAGAGCACCAATGACCCACAGTCGTTGTCATCGTCATCATCCTCCTCTTTCTCCTTCTCGTCCCAAACTTCATTGCCTTCTAGCACCGATGATGTTACCTAGTTGGGTCACGAAATGTCTGCAAGGAAACCACCAAACTCAGAGAGCACCAAGGGCCCCACAGTTCCATTCTGAGCTACAAATATGATCTTCTCTTGGTAGTTTTATGAAGCTTATCTATTTTTTATGTTGATGTAAAGGATGCGGTGGCTCAGAGGCTAAGACGCTGAGCTTGTCGATCAGAAAGGTCAGCAGTTCAGCGGTTCGAATCCCTAGCACCGCGTTATGGAGTGAGCTCCTGTTCCTTGTTCCAGCTTCTGCCAACCTAGCAGTTCGAAAGCACATAAAAAATGCAAGTAGAAAAATAGGGACCCCTTTGGTGGGAAGGGAACAGTGTTCCGTGCGCCTTTGGCATTTAGTCATGTGGGGCACATGACCACGGAGACGTCTTTGGACAACGCTGGATCTTCGGCTTTGAAATGGAGATGAGCACCGCCTCCTAGAGCCAGAAACGACTCGCACGTATGTGCGAGGGGAACCTTTACCTTTTAAGGCAAGAAAGTCAGCAAAAAGTGATCTACCTCTATATTTAGTGTCGGTGAGAAAGCTGGACGTTCTCTGCAGATAATCGCTCAGGCCGTTGAGCTGTTCCGGATCTCCCGCAACCACGGCTCCAAAAATACGGTCCCTGTCGAAGCGATTTGGGTCATCCGGTCTGCAGAGAAGTAAGGAAAGGAAAAGGATCCAGACGGGATTCGGTCTTACAGTCCTCTGGTCGATCCATTCGCTCTCTAAAGTGCTCCCCAGAAATCCCTCATCCAGGGATTCCCCTCATCCACTACAGGAATGTCCCCCAATAACCATGGCTGGGTGACTTTGGGCCAATCACCAGAGACGGTGAGTTCTAGTCCTGCCTTAGCATGAAAGCCACTAGGTGCCTTTGGGCCAATCACCAGAAGATGGTGAGTTCTAATCCCGCCTTAACCATAAAAGCTGGCTGGGTGACTTTGGGCCAGTCCCACCCACCCTCTCTCAGGCCTCAGCCTAACCCACAAGGTGTTGTGGTTAGCCGGCAGCAGGTGCAGATGGATGAGGAGAGCGATGACTCAGATGAGGGGCCAGGATCATCAGGGAGTGGACTGCTGCCTTCAGGGATTGTGGGAACTGGCAGCAGTGACGAGGAGGTTCCCGAGGAGCCTGTGCCAAGTGCACGTGCGCGCAGGATGATTCGTAGAAGAGAACAGCTGGAGCAGCACAGGCGCCTCGGGAGTAAGGATGCAATGTAATGGCCCTTCCCTCCAGGGAATATAAGCCTAGTTTCAAAAGGTTTTTGCTTTTGCAGAAAGCAAAAACGTTCGAATGACTCGGCATTGTGTGTGGCTTATCTGAAGAATTCTGTCAAGGCTTTTCTGGTTAGACTAATTGGCTGCAAGCCATCTTTTATCTACAAAGAAGTTATTTGTAGATTCAAGCTGAGAAGGTTTGAGTTGCTGTGTTTGTTTGAGATTTTCTTGCTGGTAACAGGGCTGGGTCAGAACACAGGGTTGTTGTTGTGGGGCAAATAGAAGAAGGAAGATGCCTTGGATGGGTTTACCGTCTTGAGTTATTTGTAAAAATAATAATAACAAAGGCAGGAAACGAATAATAAAAACGAATAATTGGGTCGTGCATCGCTTTAAGATAACAGAATAACAAGAGTTTGAAGGGACCTTGTGGGTCATCGAGTCCAATCCAAGTCCCAGATTCCTGTACTGGACCGCAAAGCAACCCATAAACTTTTGACAGAGATCAACGCAAAAGTTCCCTCGGCCGGTGAAAATTGGCAAAATAATTCCCACCTTGGTATCCATGATAAATGACTTACGTGACGAGTCCTGGCCGGTAATTCAGATTCACCCGAATCCGGGGTGAGGGGGGGGCTTCCTTCTGGAAAGGGGTCTCCAAGGGTGGTGGTCCATGCTCCTCCCCAGCGGGGCCCTTCGGGGCTGAGTTCGCATCCTCTCCAAGGCCGTCATCCGTCTCCAAGACACAGGGGGATTTCTTCATTGTCCAGGTTGGCAGGCTGGCAAAGGTGACAATGGCAGGTGGGACAAGGGCTGGACCCAGATGGCTGGCAGAACTGGACCGGGGAGGGGGGATTGTGGGGAAGGGGTTGGGCTCGATATGTGGGTCCGAGGGGGAGGCAGTCCACCTTCTCTCGGGAGAAGAGGAGGTTGTAAAACTGGCAAGCAAACAGAATGATGGAGGAGGAGGAGGAGGAGGAGGAGGAGGAGGAGGAGG